GTCCCTGGGGAGTCGAGGTGTTGCAGGATGTAATGCAGTGTCATGTTCACTGCATCCACTGACCTGTTTGCCCAGTAGGCAGACTGCAGGGGGTCTACAATGTCCTTCAGGTGGGCCAGCACCAGTCTTTCAAAGGACTTCACTACTACAGATGTCAGGGTGACAGGTCTGTAGTCATTCAGTCCACTGATGGGGGTTTTCTTGGGGACTGGGATGATGGGGCGTTTGAAGCAGGAGGGGACTTCACACAGCTCCAGTAGCCTGTTGAAGATAAGTGTGAAGATGGGGGCCAGCTGATCAGCACACACTTTGAGGCAGGAGGGGGTCACACCATCTGTGTCTGGTTTAGTACAGCAGGGAGTCAACACTTCTACAGTTTTTTTCTTGATTTATGTGAATTTGTGCTAAGTCTTAGTTAAAGCAGTTTTAAAGCTGAGAGTTAACTGTCCACATACTGAGTCTGCACTGTATGCATTGAAGCATAAGATGTTGGTGTTTCAGGATCTTGAGAAATTATTCCAGAAAGATCAGAAGGATGTCCAGCACATGAAGGACAACATACCTGCACACATGCCCAGGAAGAAAGCCCCAGCAAAGTGAGACCACCGTTTATTTTCTTTTATGTTCTGTATAAACCTATTGTCAGATTAATTGAAAATGGAAAAACAATAATTAGTAGTAGCCCTTACTGACTAAAATATGAAACATGCTACAGAGAGAGCCTACAGTATAAATATTTTGTCTACAGCAGAAATATTTATATAGCATGTAGTTACTCATTTTCTGACCTGAGCAAGAAAAAAAATAACAGGTCTGTTTTTAGTCCATAAAGAAAAAGCTCTACAAAACTCCTTTGACAGGACAGAAGCCCTTATTAATCCCAGGAAGAGCAACAGGAATGACATACTGTACATGCAGTAGATGTACAGAATGCAAAATCGCAATACAGAGAAATACATACAGTGAGTGTTGAGGTTCGATAGCATTCTGGATCCAATTCTGAATCCACTTATCAAATCCGAATCTCTTATTGAATTTATGCAGCGCTTTTCAAAGTACTCAAAGACACTTAGGAAGTTTTAGTATATATAAATTTTCACACACTACAGCGGCACACACTCAGCGGTGGACTGATTGTTGCACTGCTAAAGATCTGATGGATCACACTGCACCGGTGATAAACTGAGTGAGGCTGAGCACTTAACTCCTTACCTCTATTATATTTCATAACTTCTCGAGTTATGAAATATAATGCAAGTTCTTACTTTAACATGATGGACACTAGAAGACTAAACAATGGATGAGTTGTTCCCCTTTTCTCTGTGAGTACCTATATGAGTTATTGTTTTGGGGCATTTTGCCTGTATTTTTATTATTTATATGGCTTAAGTATGTCACAGAGAGGCAGACAGGAAATGGGCGACAGAGCAGAGACCTGCAACATAGGTCGGCGGCTGGACTCAAACTGCAGACATCACACGCACACTGTGCTTGTATATATGGCGTGCCACACCGTAATCGTTCGGCTACTGGGGCGCCCCGTCCGTGAAGCTTAATGAACCCAGATATTTCACCAACCTGTAACTGGATCCCAAATGGAACCTGCTGTTAGAACCTATCACTACATACTATATAATTACCTCCACCAAGAAGTTATGTTTTTGTTTTTGTGTGTGTGTTGGTTAGCAGACAAACGACAGGATGAATCATCAGCATACTTGGTACAGACATTGGTGGGGGCCACCCATCGAAGTGATTAGATTTTGGCTGAGAAAGGTCAACAGTCAAGGTCACAAAAAAAAAAAAAACACAAAAGTGCACTCAGACTGCACGTACCTCCTCTAAGACACATTTGCAAATGTGTCCCTTATGAAAAATTAGCTCCAAAACAACACGTCCATGTACTCTCCGAGTGCTCTTTTACTAAAATATAAAGTATTAGGCCTTGGAGTAAAGACTTCATCAAAAACATGGCTGTCTAGCACACTGATGCCTGTTCTTACACAGTGTGACCTAGGGACTACTCAGTAAGCTCTGCTTATGCCTGACACAGGACGAAGCTGCCTTCATAGATTTTCCACATTTTTTTTTCAACATTACTGTGCTAATAGAAAATAACCTTCAGCTTTGAATGAATAGAACTGATGTCACCTGTTCAATGTTCCTCACATTTCTCAGTGGGAACGAGCCTGCAGTGAACCAGAAGGAAGCAGCAGATGTTCAGCCTGCCCAGCAAGAACATGGCAAAAAGAGCAGCAAGGGCTACATCAGGGAGATGGCGGTTATCATCATGTCCGAGTTCGAAAGCATCCCTCAGTAAGTATCCCTCACCGATATCCAGCATGATGTGATATGATGATGGACCTGTGTATTCGTCCCAGGAATTTATGATCTGTCCCACTCATGAATGGTAAGCTCTCAATTTAACCAGTTCAGACAATATTTTTAAGAGTTTGCAATTTTTTTTAAGTTCGTGCAGTTGTTCGTCAAAATACAGATCAGATATAAAGTGTGGTTAATTAAAGTTAACCACACTATTCCATAAAATGTTCTATATAGAACCACTGTTAGAAGCCCAAATGTAAAGAGAAAAAAGGAGCTGAGCTGAGCTGAACTGTTATCACTCCTAACAAACTCCACAGTCACAAATGTATCATCGCCTCACTCAAACTGCCATTTTTAATAGTTTATAAGCAATAAGTAGCCTGGTTGTCAGTACTGCATAATGGGACTAATTCAGTGCAAAAAAAAACGTGCTGACAGTGCTTCTCAGTTTTCTAAACCTAAAGCTCAAATGGGATCGGGCCTTTGCAGTCATGGCCCCAAAACTGTAGAAGACGTTACCCCTCAATGTCAGAGCTGCCCCGTCAATGCTGACCTTCAAGTCTCAGTTAAAAACTTCTTGGCTTTTAAATCAGCATGAGATATTCTTTTTATTGTTGTTCTTTTTGTGTGTAGTCTTGAATGTCATTTATGTGCTTTTATTTTTTATTTTATTGCTGTACAGCATGTTGGGTCAAATTTTGTTGTTTTTAATTGTGCTAATAAATAAATTGACTTGACTACCTGGTATAGCAGCGATCAGATTGTGGAATGACTTCGAAATATAATAGTCGTGCTGAACAGCTGGCTGACAGTCGACTGACAAAATCCTTGGTCAGGTACTGCCCTAGACATTACAGCAGCAAAGAAGAGCTACTCTGAAAAGCTGAAAAACCACTTTTCAGCAAACAACCCTGCCCCTGTGTGGCGAGGTCTACAGAACATCACCAGCTACAGGAGACTGTCCAGGCTTTTCCACTATTGTGGTTCTCACATCATCAGAAAATTCTTTGCTCTTCTTTCTTTTCTCCATGCTCAGTGTGGTCCACACCGCACAAAGGTTGAGTCAACTTTTCTCCATTTTAACTGGTCACCAGTGTGATTTCTATGTTGCCGCCACCTGTTGGTTGCTACAGGTGAGTTTCATTACAAATTAAAGGAGCATCACAGGCTGGAACTACAACGATTTCTCCATCAATCCATTTTCTGCTGCTTATCCAGGGTTAGTTCGTGGTGGCAGCAGGTTCAGTAAGGCAGTCCAGGCATCCCTCTCCCCAGGCAACATGTTCCAGCTCCTCCAGCAGGATTCTGAGACATTCTCGTGATTTTTTTAAAAGGTGTCAATAATTCTGTCTGGTCCATTTTTGGAGTTGTATTTGGGATTCATCAGATTAGACTTCCCCCCCGCCTGCTTTTTGTGTTCCAAAGAGAATACCTAAGAGTTTGTGATTGCAACAATTTTCTAGGAGAAGTGGTGCATTATCTGACAGAAATGCAGGGCTGACAATAGTTTTGGCCATGGCTGTATGCATGGGTCTTCTTTAGGGGTTCATTTATTATAGGAACCTACCAAAACACTCTCGTCATGGTTTGAGTTTGTTTCCACTGTGGTGCACCTGCTTTGGAGATGCGTTCTGGGAGCAAAATCTCAGCACCCCTCAGTGGTACAAAAATCAAAGAAAGGCACAGCAGAGGATGTACTTCCTGCTTTAGCTCAGGAAGTTCAACCTGCCCCAGGAGCTGCTGATACAGTTCTACAGAGGAACCATCAGTCTGTTCTCTGCTCTTCCATCACTGTCTGGTTTGGCTCAGCAACTAAACAGGACAGTAACAGACTGTGTTAGTGTGAATATTGTTCTAATGTGACTTGGAAAGAGTGATAGCCCTTTATCACCAGTATATCATACTTGTATTGTGTGTGTACATTGTGTCCTCCTCAGGTACATGAAAGGACGTGTATCATATGATCAACTTAATGCTGCAGTGCACAACATTAACACAGCTGTGACAGCCAAGTACAAGATCCTTCAGCAGTCGGTGAAAATTCTCAACAGTCATTCACGCAAGCTTCACCAGCGGTTTAAGGAACAGGAGACCAAAGAGACAAAAGGTACATGGGCAGCAACAATCACTGTTTTTACTGGTAGATTTTATTATTTTATGGGATATTTTTGATGAAACTTTGTGTAGACAGTGGCTTCATAAAGTATTAAAACCCCACTGATCCTCTGCACACTTAATTGATATTGCTTTAATTTTAAATCAATTCAAGTTGCCATTTTAGCCTAAGTTACACTCTAACCCATGATGACATGACATGTTGATTTGATGAAGATTTTGCATTCTGCGGTGACCTACAATTTGAGCCTCTCTGTTTTTTTAGCCTGTCTTTGTTTTCATTTTGGGCGGTTAAGTAGCCAAATTAGCTACACATACTTTGCTTGCTACGTACCGTGGAATGTACTGCCAACTACCAATGAATTACTGTGACACTGCAGAAAACTTCCTCAGAGTAATTCTGGAACAAGGAGCATCTGCTTTTTGTGATTTTGATACAGTATCTGTTTATGGATTAGACATTAGACATCTGAGAAAATCCTCTGAAAGTGAATGTCATACTAAATCTACAGTGTGCATCATGTCTGTGTGTTAACATTCGACTACCTCTGGTGTTGATCTGGTAGATTTTTACAACAACTGAATGCACAAATCCATGTGCATACAAACTGACAGAACACAGGTCTCACGGTTGTATGTCACGGAATGTCTTGCAGGTCAGTATTTTGTGGTGGATGATGACATCCGGGAATTTACTCAGATGAAGGTGGACAAACGATTTCAAGGGATTTTGAACATGCTACGACACTGCCAGCGCCTGAGGGAGCTGCGAGGGGGAGGCCTCACCCGCTATATGTTGTTATGAACCAACAAGACATAAGATTATACTCATTTCATTATGTTTATACACAGTTTGTAAATGTACATATATTTGGTAGTCACAGTAGTATGAGTATTCAGTAGTATTTTCTAATTTAAAAGACTGCTTTGTGCATTACAGTACATAAGAGACGTTTTTGATTTGCCAGGTAAATTCTACTGACCAGTGGTGTGTTTAGGTTAGCGGAGTTGGATCTATCTGGGGATATGCCTCATTGGCTACCTGTATGTGCGCATTTGCATGTTTACTGGTATCTGTGCACATGGAGATTTTTGTATGTTGTAGTTGAAAAAATTATAAATGCAGTTGCTTTTTCTGAGTTATTACATTATTGAAAGTGTAGAGAAAAGGTTTCTTTAACAAATAAAAAGAAGGAACTTACAGTGCCTTGCGAAAGTATTCGGCCCCCTTGAACTTTGCGACCTTTTGCCACATTTCAGGCTTCAAACATAAAGATATAAAACTGTAATTTTTTGTGAAGAATCAACAACAAGTGGGACACAATCATGAAGTGGAACAAAATTTATTGGATATTTCAAACTTTTCTAACAAATAAAAAACTGAAAAATTGGGCATGCAAAATTATTCAGCCCCTTTACTTTCAGTGCAGCAAACTCTCTAAAGAAGTTCAGTGAGGATCTCTGAATGATCCAATGTTGACCTAAATGACAAAGGATGATAAATAGAATCCACCTGTGTGTAATCAAGTCTCCATATAAATGCACCTGCACTGTGATAGTCTCAGAGGTCCGTTTAAAGCGCAGAGAGCATCATGAAGAACAAGGAACACACCAGGCAGGTCCGAGATACTGTTGTGGAGAAGTTTAAAGCCGGATTTGGATACAAAAAGATTTCCCAAGCTTTAAACATCCCAAGGAGCACTGTGCAAGCGATAATATTGAAATGGAAGGAGTATCAGACCACTGCAAATCTACCAAGACCTGGCCGTCCCTCTAAACTTTCAGCTCATACAAGGAGAAGACTGATCAGAGATGCAGCCAAGAGGCCCATGATCACTCTGGATGAACTGCAGAGATCTACAGCTGAGGTGGGAGACTCTGTCCATAGGACAACAATCAGTCGTATACTGCACAAATCTGGCCTTTATGGAAGAGTGGCAAGAAGAAAGCCATTTCTTAAAGATATCCATAAAAAGTGTCGTTTAAAGTTTGCCACAAGTCACCTGGGAGACACACCAAACATGTGGAAGAAGGTGCTCTGGTCAGATGAAACCAAAATCGAACTTTTTGGCAACACTGCAAAACGTTATGTTTGGCGTAAAAGCAACACAGCTCATCACCCTGAACACACCATCCCCACTGTCAAACATGGTGGTGGCAGCATCATGGTTTGGGCCTGCTTTTCTTTAGCAGGGACAGGGAAGATGGTTAAAATTGATGGGGAGATGGATGGAGCCAAATACAGGACCATTCTGGAAGGAAACCTGATGGAGTCTGCAAAAGACCTGAGACTGGGGCGGAGATTTGTCTTCCAACAAGACACTGATCCAAAACATAAAGCAAAATCTACAATGGAATGGTTCACAGATAAACATATCCAGGTGTTAGAATGGCCAAGTCAAAGTCCAGACCTGAATCCAATCGAGAATCTGTGGAAAGAGCTGAAAACTGCTGTTCACAAACGCTCTCCATCCAATCTCACTGAGCTCGAGCTGTTTTGCAAGGCGGAATGGGCAAAAATTTCAGTCTCTCAATGTGCAAAACTGATAGAGACATACCCCAAGCGACTTACAGCTGTAATCGCAGCAAAAGGTGGCGCTACAAAGTATTAACTTAAGGGGGCTGAATAATTTTGCACGCCCAATTTTTCAGTTTTTTATTTGTTAAAGTTTGACATATCCACTAAATTTCGTTCCACTTCATGATTGTGTCCCACTTGTTGTTGATTCTTCACAAAAAAATTACAGTTTTATATCTTTATGTTTAAAGCCTGAAATGTGGCAAAAGGTTGCAAAGTTCAAGGGGGCCGAATACTTTCGCAAGGCACTGTAAATAAAGTTGAGTTGAGTTGAGAAATATCACAGCCCTGTTTTGAACACTTCATGTTTCACCTGGCAGTACACTTTACAAATTAATGTCCTGTTTCGTAATGCCTGATGTGTTATTCTTCCATCAGAATCATTTTCATGGACAAATGTGCAACAGGATGAAGCAGGGATAATCCAACCACCAACTTGAGATGCGATTAACTGATTTTATTGGGTACTGGATCAGTGGTGATAGAATGACGACTAGCAGAATGAGGTAGTGCTGCACAAACATAACGGTTACTTTTACTCTGAGAGTGAGCAGTGAAATTAATATAGCACCACCAGAGGTTGGTCTTGTCGATGTGTCGCGGATCCTTGGCATCTAACTAGTCATGTTGCAGATGTTTCAGTAGCTTTCTGTGTTGAGTGTGATGCTGTGATACCTGCCAGTTGAAACGCTAGGATAATGGAGGGACTGTTATACCAGTGAGCAGGGAAAGACCCAGGAGTTGCAGCCCCAGCAATGTCGTGTCTCCATCATCGTTAGGCAGCTGTGCCGGTCAGCCGGTTGTTGCTTCACTGTAGAGCCAACCACCACAACTCAGTTCCCTTCTTCACGTATACTGGAGTTCAGAGTGTGGGCACACCTTCCTCACTGAGGAACTTAAGTTGTGGGGGTGAGGTTAGTGAGGTCTCCTCCCTTCTGGCTCTCCGGCTCCCTCGAGGCAGCGGCCCTCCGGTGAGCATTGTGCACAGAAGGAGAGAAGTCGTCGTATGGATCAGTGATCTCTTTACAGTGATCAGTGTGTGTCCAAGTAGCTCGTCCTGCTACTTTCACTGCGGTGCTGGTTGTCAGCAGCACTTGGAATGGACCCCGGTGTCCCCTCTGCTTCCAGTGGTTCCATCTGTGGTCCTTACTCAGCCCACAATCTCCAGGCTTCAGTGGATGAAAAGTGAGAATGGTGTCTGCCCGTGATTAAAATAGCATGAGATGAAACAACAGCAAAACCCACGTGTGAAGTCAGTACAGCTTTTTAAGTCTCATTAATGTTAGTTTTTTTTTTTTTTTTTAATTATTATTATTTTTTTAGTATTTTGGGGCTTTATTCAGTGTGGTAGGTGGTGGTCATGTAATCCAGAATAGAATTTAAAATCCTTCTAACATACATTGCCCTTAATGACAAGGCTACATCATATCTTAAAGACCTCATAGAGCCTTATCATCCCAACAGAGTACTTGGCTCTCAGAGTGCAGGTTTACTTGTGGTTTCTAGAGTCCACAGAAGTAGAATGGGAGGCAGAGCCTTTAGCTATCAAACTCCTCTCCTATGGAACCAACTCCCAGTCTCAGTTCAGGAGGCAGACACCCTTTCTACCTTTAAGATTAGACTTAAGACTTTCCTTTTTGATAAAGCTTATATTTAGGGCTGGATCAGGTGACACTGAGCCTTCCCTTAGTTATGCTGCTATAGACCTAGGCTGCCGGGGGGGGCCCCAGAAGCTCTGAGTTTCTCGCGTCTCCCTCCTCTCCTTTCCTCTCTCCTTATGCTTCTATATGCCACCATTACACATCACTAACTTTGTCTCCTCTCTCCCGTAGTGTGTCCTCTCTCTCTCCTTGTACCTTTCTGGCTCTGGGGCTCTATGTTTCTGATGATCAGTCACCGGCCACATCAACTTGACCAGTGTTTGTTTGTTGTGTCTTGTTGTTGCTTTTCTTCTTTTCTCTCTCCTCTATCCACTCACCCCAACTGGTCGAGGTAGAAGGCCGCTCACAAAGAGCCGGGGTTTGTCTGAGGTTTCTTCCGTTAAAGGGAGTTTTTCCTCCCTGCTGTCGCCAAGTGCTTGCTCGGGGGGCATGTGTTGGGTTTTTTCTTGATAATAATAGTAATAACAGTAAGGTCTAGACCTGACTATAGAAAGTGTCCTGAGGCAATTTTTGTTGTGATTTGGTGCTATACAAATAAATTTGAATTGTGAACTCTGGTGTGTAAATATATTGTCAGACTGTTGTAAAAGAAAGTCTCTCATTATCTTCCAGCTCTGGCAATCCTTAATCCTGTACATTATTTTGTAAAGCTGTTCAGTGATTTGCTAAGATGCAGGCACATAATAGCAACATGCACCAGGTGTCCCCCTACACAACCTAATACATTCTCACTTCTCATTTAAACAGTAAGGTAAAAAAAAACATAGATAAAATAAGAGTGTGTGCACTAAGTATCTGTCAAGAGGAAAAGTAGCACAAATCATAAAGGCAAAGTGAGTAAAACCTGCCTTTCTGTGTTGAATAAAACAAATCAGCTTAAACTGACTAAATCTTGGAGTTCATGAGCAGAATCCTTAATGATGAAGCTTAAGTCAAGAATCTTTATTGTCATTATGCATAGCACAACGAAATTTTTTCCAGCACCTCTCGGCTTAAAAGACACATTATTTACATAACACTAAATTGTATAAGTCAATATTAAAGTATGAACAAATAAAAAGGGGTGTATGGGACCTAATAAGGTCAGCAGCATGTTAGCAGCAAAAGAGTGTAGTAACATTATAAGGTGCAGCTCAGTGCAAGTCTCAGTCTTTAGGAAGAGGTGTAAGCATGGGTGTGTGTCTGCAGAGGTCCAGTATTCTGTCTGTGTCTGTCCATAGGGGGGAAGTTGTGTAGGTGTGTGTGACTAGGGGTTAGGGGGGTGATTGATTTCACAGCTCTAGGGAAGAAGCTGTGTCTCAGTCCGTTTGTTTTAGTCTTTATATTCCTGTACCTTTTCCTGGAGGGAAGAGGCACAAAAGACTGTTGCCTGGGTGGGGTCTGCAGCAATCTGTCCTGCCCTCCTCTGGATCCGGTCAGTGTATAGTGAGTCCAGATCCAGAAGAGGACTCCCTACAATGCCCTGAGCTGTTCTCACCACCTGGGTCAAGTCCTTTCTGTCCTGTGCAGTGCAGCTCCTGTACCACACTGTTGCACTAAGACTGCCACTCTGTAGAAGTTTGTGAGCAACTGAGAGGAGAGACCAGTGCATTTCAGCTTCCTGAGGAAGAAAAGCCTTTGCTGGGCTTTCTTCACCAGGTAGGATGTGTTCAGAGACCAGGTCAGGTCAGATGTGATGTGGATGCCCAGGAACTTGATGTTATCCACTTGCTCCACCACCTCCCCGTGTATGAGAAGAGGAGCATATTTTGTCTTTCTGGACCTGTTATAATCCACAATGACTTCCTTAGTCTTGTTGGTGTTCAGGTCAAGATTGTCATCTGAACACCACCACTCACAAATCTGTCACTCCTCATCTACAGTAGCTGTCCCTCTCTCCCTGTATCCTTTCATCCATCCACCCCCCTCCCACCAGACACCCATAAGCCTCTTTCAGTCCCCCTCCACGCCCACTCCCGGCCCATCCCCACTTCAGTCCCTGCTCCCCCCGCCAGTCGGCCATATGGCATGTTCTTGCACGTACTGCGGTACAGAGGTGGACTGAACCATTGTGCATACGGTGGGTGGGTGCCAGCAGGGAAGAGTGCTGCAGAGAAAGAAGGAGGGAGAGGTGGAGAGAGGCAGTATTATCCCTTGCTGTGCTAATCCCTCAGTCCTGTCTCTTTATGTTGATTCCCTTTGCATATTTGCTGGAGAAACTCCAGATGAGAATTTTGAGGCTATGAATGGTGTTGAAGGCAGAGTCGTGAGGTTTGGACACTATCAAATGGATGTAAACTTCAGTTTGACTCTTCTGGTAAGTGAAGTGATTTTCAGTGTGCTGTGACTTATTTATGTTGTATTTGATTCTAATGTGCTCTGAATGTAAACGGCAGTTTTCATAAGATGATTTGAGTCCCTGCCAGAAACTCACCTCGGGTTATAATTTACTTTAAGAATTTTGGGCTCATCTAGATAGTTAAAATTATTATTCAGTGCTTCTTTGGTGACATGGATTACATTTTTTTAATTCTCTGATAAAATACTGTACAGTTTTACCATGTGTAATGTACTTGTAAGCCTTGTTCTGAAGTTCCAGAGTGAGCACAGTCGATAATCTGCTGTTTAGAGCATGAGCAGATTAGACATGGGGACATTTACTTCAGTAGTGGACCAACAGCTGCAGACTATGCTATATGCAACACAGAGAAAACACTTTAGCTGACAAACATTATAAGGACAGTGTGTTTAGAGCTCCTAACAGATCAAAGTGAATGAATCCAATAATAACAAGCAGGAAGCACAAACGCTCCTATTCAGCAGAGTTTGCTTGCCAACAGGATTATGTAATCAGTGCACACACAAAAATACAAATACAAATCTCATGTTACGTTCTTTTTCTCGTATTATGTATGCTCCATTTAATAGCATGAGCAGTTGTACAGTGGGATAAATACTCTTCTTGTGCTTTTGTTGTTTCTGTTGACTCATCTGCTGTGTAACATGGACGAACATTTACATAGTAGAGGAACAAGCTGGTCTTTGGTCTCTGTCTTTGTCTTCCATAACTGAGCTATGACAAAGCTTCTTGTATAGTAATAATCGTCAAACATGTACATCTCTCAGGGTTGTAAACATGGCCCCGTCCCCCTTTAAGAAAGTTTTAGACTTCTTGTTCTGATACATTCAAAAGGAAAGAATTCATTTCACTGGTCAAACCATTTTTTTAAAGAGCCAAAATGTTGTACAATAACATTTAAAAGAAAGGAGTCGTCTTGTACGACAGACCACATGGGCCTTTCAGTAAACTAGCTGGTCCACCAGTGTGATCTAGGTGTGTTCCACTGTGGTTACACCTGGCGCAGACAGTCATGGTCTCCATACATTTTACATCCTAATTACTTTGGTGACCCCCTGACCTCTCCTCTCGTATCACCATGTTGACATCTTTGGTTCGGGTGAAATTTTTATCGTGAGCATATTGGCATGTTGAAATTGGCTCCACAACTGGCATCGCTGCAGATCCAGTGAACTCATCATTAGAACAATATTATTTAATGTTCCTTCCAAATCCATTAGAAACTTCTCTTAAAATGATCTCAGTCATCTGACACAGCTACAGTAAGTTTCCTTATTCTAAAACTATCTGGTTAGGGTGAGGGCAAGATTGTGTTTATTTGGTTAAGGTTAGGAAACAAATAAAAGCATTTATTCATCCATCTGCACCAACCTCCTAATCAGGCATTGCAGCACTATAACAGCATCACCACCGTTCTGCCTTTGTTCCTGACAGAAAACAACCATAATTCACACAGCCACTACATGTTTATCAGGTAAAGGTATACATATAAATGCTTTTCTTCCAGGCATCCACTGATTTTCCTTCATTTCTGAATGTTGTCAAACTGTTGATAGCACATCTGCTGATATGATTCTCTAAATTACATTGCTCTAACATGCTAATACAGTATAAATACTTACAAGTACTCTCCACTTAACTGCTCAAACATGATTAGGTTGACAAAAGCTAAAGCATTCATGTTCAGCATAAAGGGTCACTATGTCATGAATGTGCGATGACCTTCCAAACTGACTTTTGGTGTTTCCACAACACATCACAAAGTAACATGGAGTGGTAAACATGTCACACGACGGGTATGGTCCTTTAAAAACAAGTGGTGGCTCCCGTTTGATGATGCTCTGTACTAGAGAGCTGCATGCATCTTCTCTAGTTTGAAACAGTAGACTGCACAGTACCTACTGAAAGCGTGTGTGTATATGAGGTCTCTTCCTGCTGTAGATAGGATCGAGATGAATTATTTATCTTGTCTAAATGCCTGGGCCGGCTCTGTAGCTTTTTCTTCAGCATCCTCGCCTCACATTTATCATGGGTGTGAACAGGGCTGTGTTTGTCTTTGTGCTCACACAGTTTATCTCATCAGTTTCTTTCCAAAATCAGTATATTCTGCTGTCTTTCAATTCACAGGCGGTGGGATGTTCTTTAAAGTTGTATAGTGTTTCCTCTGTAGTGTTTCCTGACTCAGTAATGTCTGGACTGACCTTGACCATGAGTTGTCTGCATGAGGAGGCAGGATTCTGAGAGGTAATACAGCAGAGAGCAGTTTCTGTTTCATCCATTCCATGTGATTGTTGGACAGGGGGTGAAAGCCTGAGGAGGGTTTGAAGCACAGATGATTTGCAAAACTCTTGATAGAAGTGGCAGGCAAACTGGGAGCCTCAATCTGAAACTGGGTAGACCATGGAGCTGGAAGACACACATTTTTTGAGACAATATCCACAGTTTCTTTGGCATGTGGTAATTTTGGCAAGGAGATAAAATGAGCAGACTTAAGACAATCTATGAACCTGAGTCAGTTTGGCGATGTTAACCCTCTGATGGAGGAAGCCCTTTGATGAAGTCCAGTGAGATGTGAGAATCTCAGCCAGTGGGACAGAGCGGAGCAATAATATGGACCTGTCAGTCCACTTGGACTTGTCGGCTGTGAGACGGCTGAGTGGAGTTTTGATCAAGGCTTGGAGGCAAAAAAAAGCTGAAGAGACATGACTTGGTAACCCATAAAAAATTAAAAATTCACATTTTGCTTCTTGAAGCACTGCCAAATAATTACTAATGTAATAATAACCAATAATAATCATATAATGTGCTCAGAGTGTCTCCACAATGCACACTTTCATTTGCAGATGCTGGCAACACGCCACAGAAGACTCTAAATTTAGTATGACCCATTTTACTCCACATAGCTGTGAAAATGATTCTGATGCTAGAATCATTTATGTGCTGGTTCTTGCTTAGTAAAAGTTCTCGCTTTGCATTTACTTAAAATCTTATTATTACTTTGTTTTCATTTGTATTAATGATTAGAAATAGTCAGTTTTAATGCTGCCTACCCTGTTTACTGTGTAAGGAATTTGTGATGAATAAAACTGTAATAAAATGTTTATATGTGAGTGCTCCTCCAGCTTGCTGACGGGCGATCTTAACTGCTGATAAGATCATTTTGAATCACAGCAACCTACTTGTGACTTATGCTCCACATTTCTTGTGCAGCTGGGCTCAGCTGTGAATTCAGGACTGCTAATATGTACATGCTGTAAAACATGCAAAGTTATTTCAACTTAATACAAGTGAGCATTTCCCTAACTGGCTTAAAATATTAACTCAGTTATGAAGTTAAATAGATTAGTGGCGACTAGTTTGTACACATTTGTTCATTTGTTATAATGTTTAATGGAGAGAAAAATATCAACTATAAAAAGCAAACTTAAAATGAGATCAGTCACTGACTGCTGAGTTACACTAAGACCTCCTTTTTTAAACATATGAACCAAACTGCATAAAAGTGAAGACACCCACACCACACCGGCAACCTGTCCATGGTGTACCCCACATTTCGCCCGATTGCCGGCTGGGATTGGCTCCAGCCACCCCCGCGACCCCGTTCGGGACCAAGCGGTATAAAAAATGAGATGAGATGAGATAGTTGCAGTCCCACGTCCTCGTGGAAGGGATGAAGAATACAAATTACCGCCACTTGCTGGTAGGCAATGCAAGGTGTGAGAGGGAAACAGCTGTGAAGGCAGTGGGGGAGGGAGGCTCTGTGTTTCTTCAGGAGCAGGACAAGGGGACAGCTGGACATCCTTTGTTAAACCTGTTGAAGAACAAGTTCAACCCACTGGCTTTACTCAAGTTTCCCCCAAGTCTGTTTTATCTGAAGTGCTAAACTTGGCAAAGTGACTTGCTTGTTAAGACTCTTGCATGGTCCACTGAATGAATTACTTGGTTCCGACTGCTTACATGCCTGTGACCACCATTTGGAGTCTGACTCTGCCCTACATTACCCTTGCTCTGTTTTTGCTGGCCAGACATTCAGTAAGTCTTCCTGTTCTGTTTAGTTGCCAGCCTGCAAACTGCACTGTTTCTATAATGTTTCAAGTTTTCAAGTTTTCAAGTTTTGTTTGACTATCTCTTTAGAAGTGCAAACCTAATTGACTTAAATTCAAGTGATTTATTTGTCCTTGTGTAGCTGATTTTGGCCAGACACCTAATTTTTAGTAATAATCTAGCCACAGGGGTTGCAAGCCAGTGACTTCTGTGCCGGTCCCAAGCCTGGCGATCCTTCAGCACATAGCATCCACACGCATTTTCGACAAAAAATGCATTTCTCTAGTTGTGTGGATGGTGAAGCATCCGCACTATGTTATCTTATTCTTTACTGTGTGGATGCTATAAAGCATCCACACTCTGCTTTCCGGTTTTTTATTTATTATTCTGGGATCTTCCACCCTTTTTTGGCACTTTATAAGTCCAGCATACTTTCAGCTATACAGGCCATTGCGATCTTGATTTGTTCAACTCTTCAAGGACATCCCTGCTTGTACTAAACTTTTTTATAACATTTATACTTTTTAATCTTTATTTTTGCAATACAAGTCAATAGGAGCTCAAAGTGCTGAGTCAATGACACAGTAAGTAAGTAAGTAAGTAAATTTTATTTATATAGCACCTTTCACAGACAGGGTCACAAAGTGCTTTACAAAGTCAAATCATAAAAAGAGATAAAAATAAACATAAAAAGTACTCACAAAATAAAATGAATAAACCAAATCAATTAAAAAACTGTCTAAATAAATGTGACTTCAGCTGTTTTTTAAAATCATCAATAGATTCGGCCATACGTAGAGTCAAGGGCAGGGCATTCCACAGTCTTGGAGCTACGACCTGAAAAGACAGGTCCCCCCGAGATTTAAAACGAGTTTTGGGGACCACCAAAAGAGGTTGGTTTGCAGACCGAAAAGTACGTTTGGCAGCATATCAATAATGAATTGAGGCACCTGCCCATGTACTGCTCTAAATGTCAGCACTAAGATTTTAAAATCGATTCTAGCTTTGACTGGTAACCAGTGGAGCGAATACAAGACTGGGGTGATATGAGCTGTTCTAGAGGTTCCTGTCAGGAGCCTCGCAGCTGCATTCTGGACAATCTGAAGACGATTTAAAGTGGACTTATTACAACAGGTAAAAAGAGAGTTGCAATAATCAATGCGTGAAGAAACAAAAGCATGAATAATCATTTCAAGATCTCCCTTAGATAAAATCTTCCTTAATTTAGATATATTTCTCAAATGAAAGAAGCAATTCCTGACTAACTGTCTTATATGACAGTCAAAGGACATTGCCTGGTCCAACACAACAATAGAGACAGACACCCACACTTCAGGCAATTTAAAGTCACCAGTCAACATCAGCTGCATGTCTTTGGACTGTGAGAGGAAAAACCTGCTCCTGGGTTTGAATTATATTTGTGTGTGTGTGTGTACAACTTTTCAGAGTTGCTCCAGCCTCATCTGTGCCTATAAGAAGTGGAATTGATTCACGCCTGCATTTATCTATGGTGCTAGAAACAAGCAATGGGCAAAACCGCTCCACAAATTTCACATGAGAGATCCTGACAGGATATACTGGACATAAATACCCCGTTTGCAAAGCTGGGAGAATAAAGTTTATGTGGAATCAATTTCCACAGTAGGAGAAGTGCTGTGAGAGATACCCTGCAGATCACAGCTGTTGCATCGCCAGTCAAACTAACAAAAGCTGACAAGGGAATAAGTGTAAAAATACTGCACATACCATGTTATTTATCAGCCAGCCAGACTAAAGTTACTTAGTGTAAGATAATGTTGCACAGTAAGAACAGCCAGCAGTTCACTTACAGCGTAACAGTGACAGTGGCTCGGCTTTATAGAAACAAATGTTATGGTTGGCAACAGGGGGACCCAAATGCAGACTCAGACCAGAGTTTGGTAATGAAGGTTTTACGAAAACAGACAAAAGGCTACAGGCAACAAAACACAAAATACACGAAAGGGAGCTTTGATATTGGCCTATAGTTTTTTGGCTCAGAATGGTCGAGAGTCGACTTTTTTAGAATAGGGGTAATAAGTGCATGCTTAAAATAGCAAGGGACGGATCCTGTTTCAAGTGAAAGATTTAACAGTTTCATAATCCAGGGCCCAAACAAGTCAGCCTTGCTTAGAACCAAAGAAGTTGATAAGATGTCAGTCTTGGAGTGCCATCTGGTGGTCCATAAAATGCAGTGCAATTGGGACATGCCCATACATAACTCCTCTCTCTGTCTTTGTCTGTCTCTC